TGTTATTGCCACAAATTGCATCTTTTTTTTTGAAGATTTTATTTATTTATTTGACAGAACAAGACAACGAGAGAGGGAACACAAGCAGGGGGAGTAAGAGAGGGAGAAGAGGGCTTTCCACTGAGCAGGGAGCCTGATGCTCCATTCGAGGCCCCTGGGGTCATGACCTGAGCTAAAGGCAGATGCTTAACCAGTTGAGCCACCCAGGTGCCCTGCCACAAATTGCATCCTTATAAATTATGTGCCTGTCAACATAGATTTATAATTATTGACCTATGCACTATCTTTTAGGTTAGGTAGGGAAAAAGGTGGGGTTACAAAAAATACATAATGCTGCCTTTTATATTTACCTATGTAGTTATCTTTACTGGTGTTATTTCTCCATGTAGATTCAAGTTATTGTCTTCATTTCAGCCTAAAGGACCCTCTTTAACATTTCTTACAGGGAAGTTTTCCTAGGAGTGCTTTTATTTATCTTAGAATGTCTTAATTTATTCATTTTTTAATTTTGTCTTTCTTTAATAATCATGAATTTAACTCTAATTCAGCTGCACCTAGAGGGGATAAGGAAACAATGGAACCCAAAGAACTCCAAGAGCACAAAGATAAGCTGTTTTAAACAGATGAGGATAAGGGGGTGCTCTTCTGAGCTACAAAAAGAATATTAATGGTTAAGAGAAAATATAAGTCAAATTTATTAGATTTGTCTGTAGTCAGCAGTGGTGATCTTTTTGCTGGTCTTGCCATTCTTGGACCCACAGTGCCCTGTGACTTCCCCAATATTCATGCCCTCTTTCACCTTGCCAAAGACTACATGCTTGCCATCCAACCACTCAGTCTTGGCAGTGCAGATGAAAAACTGGGAACCACTTTTGCTGGGTCCAGCATTTGCCATGGACAAGATACTAGACCCCATGTGCTTTAGGATGAAATTTTCATCATGAAATTTCTCCCCATAGACTTGCTAACAGTGTAATTATGGCATGGGAAATCACTGCCCTGGCACATAAATCCCAAAATAATCTGTGAAAGCAGGAACTTTTATAACCTAATCTTTTCTCCCTGGTTCTCAGCGCATGAATGTTTTCTGCTGTCTTTGAGATTGTGTCTCTAAGCAGCTCAAGGGAAATATAGCTGAAGGGCTCACTTCTCAACAGCAATATTGAAGAATATGGAGGGGTTCACCATGACTGGGTGGCACAGGTGACTCTAGCATAATGGCATCTGAAGGCTTCTTCTTTATTTTTTAAAGATTGTTTTGCCAGATAGAATTTTGCTTGACAGGTTTTGTTTTGTTTTGTTTTGTTTTGTTTTGTTTTGTTTTGTTTTCCAGCGCTTTGAATATGTCATCCTGTTGTCTTCTGGTTTTCATAGTTTCAGCTGGGGAATTAGCTGTTATTCTTATTAAAACTCTCTCATGCAGGCTGAGTTGCTTTTCTCTTGATGCTTTCAAACACTTTGTCTTTTGACAATTTGATTACGACGTATCTTGCTATGGATCTCTCTCAATTTATCCTGTTTGGGTTTGTTGAGCTTTTTGAATAGGTAGATCAGTGTTTTCAGCAAATTTGGAGAGTTTTCAGCCATTGTTACTTCAAATATTCTCTCTGTCCCTTTCTCTTCTCTTCTGGGACTCTTAATTATGTATGTGTTGGTGCATATCATATTGGATATTGTTTTATAATTCCCCTTAGGTTTTTTAAGTTTTGTTCTTAAAGTTTTGTTTGTTTTTTAAGGTTTAAGGTTTTGTTCATTTTTCTTCATTATTTTTTCTTCCTATTCTTCAGACTGGATAATCTCAATCAATTTATTTTCAAATTTCCTGATTTTTTTTCTTCTGCACCTTAAATCTGCTGTTGGGCCCTTCTGGTGGATTTTTCATTTCAGTTGAACTTTTCAGTCCAGAATTCCCATTTGATTCCTTTTTATAATTTCTGTCTGTTTTTTGATATTCCCAATTTGGTGAGATCTTATTCTTATGGTTTTCTTTAGTTCTTTACACACAGTTTCCATTAATTCTTTGAACATATTTAAAATATCTTATTTGAGGGTGTTTTCTAGTATGTTTAATGTCTAGGTTTCCTTCAGGAGTTTCTTTTGAAACTATTGAACCTACTTTTGCCCTGTGTATGGGCCATATTTTCTTGACTTTTTTTTGCCTGCTCCATAATTTAGTTGTTGTTGAAGAATAGACATTTTATTTTTTTATTTTGTAAGAGTTTATGTATTCATTTAACAGAGAGTGAGAGAGCACAAGTAGGGGGAGTGGCAGAGGGAGAGGGAGAAGCAGGCTCCCCACTGAGCAGGGATCCCTATGTGGGGCTCTATCCCAAAACCCTGGGATCATGATCTGAGCCAAAGGCAGATACTTAACTAACTGAGCCACATAGGTGCCCTAAAGAATGAACATCTTAATATTATAATGTGGAAACTTTGGAAATAAGATTCTTCCCCCTTCTCCAGGGTTTGTGGGTGCTTGTTTTAGCTATTGTTTATTTGTTTAATTACTTTTTTGCTGAGCTAATTTTGTAAAGTTGAATTGTTTTGTGTGGCTACTGAAGTCTCTGCTCCATGAGCTTAGTGGTTAGCTAATGTTTGCACAGAGATTTTCTTAGACGTCTTGTACCAAAATACTCCCAGTCTTTGCAGATGAACTCTGTTTGTTTGGGCGTATCTTCAGCATTCAACTAGACAGTTTATGACTCTGCCTGAGCCTTCACTTCCTGCCTGGACAGAGCCGGAAGGTCAGCCAGCTTAAGATGACAGCTTCAGTTATTTTCAGGTCTTTTTTGAACACATGCATAGCCACATGCATATGGCCTTCTAGATTCTCAGGAATACTTGGAGCTTTTCAAAGCACTTAATCCCCAAAGCATCTCAGTTTCCAGCTTTGCCTCTCAAGCTTTTTAGTTAGTTCTATTGTTTTCTTCAACTCTTACCCACTGTATCAGGCAGCCATAACTAAAACATTTGCCTGTAAATGTTTTCACCATTACCACTTTAGCGCTGGTCAGGTTCCAAGTTAGTCAAGATAGAGGCAAGTCTTCTGAACCAGTATTCTAGGGAGCCACCACCTAGGTCAGAACAAAGAATTAGAATTCTTTGTGAATGAGTCATTCTGCTCCCTCCTGTACCTATACCAGGAATGCAGGCTGTTATTTTCAAGCCTGGCACTGAGCTAGGCACCAGAGATGGGAAAAGTGTAAGTTTAAAGATTGATTTATTTTAGAGAGGGTGGGGGTGGAGTATGAGTGAGGCAAGGGGCAGAGGGGGAGGGGGAGAGAGAATCCTTACATAGTCTCCCTCGTGAGCATGAAGCCTGACACAGGGCCCGATGCCAGGACCCGGATATCATGACCTGAGCTGAAATCAAGAATTGGCTGCTTAACTGACTGAGCCACCCAGGTACCCTGTTTTTCTTACTTAAACAGTCCCCTGGTCGCATCCTTCAGGCTAGTAGCCTCAGTGATTTAAAACCTTTCTCTGTGCCTCGATTTTCTTATATTATAAATAGGGGAGAAAAGTAAGGATACCTAATTCATGGGGTTGTCATTAGCATTAACTCACTTACCATGTGTAAAAACACTTTGTGAGTTGTATAATGCTATATGAACGTCAGCTATTTTTATTTTTTGCTTGTAACATTAGAGATATGAAAAAGGTAGAATTTCAAGTTTATAAGTACCATGGAAGTATATATTTAAAGTAAAAGAAATAGTCTTTCTTAAAAAAAAAAAAAAAAAGAAAGAAAGAAATAGTCTTTCTTTAGTTCTGTTGTGCTAAACCATGTATTTACCTCTTAACTTTGATTAGAATAGACAGTTCATTAACAGGTTACAAAGTTCAAAAGGTACAAAACACTATAGAATAAAGGCCACCTCTGACTTCCCCTCCTGAAGACAAGTAATAATCACCGGTGATAGGGTGGGTGTGCCCAAAAGCATACAGATGTGTATACTTCCAAAGAGATATTATGCACATGCAAACAAATATGAATGTATGTTTGTTATGACTTTGTTAGATTAACATTTATTAAGTGGAGCACAGGGCACTAGATAGTGAATCACACACAGCTCAACAACAAACCATAAGAGAAATTGAAATAGGAAAGTTTAGTATTCACAGGTTCTGGAGGAAGTACATAGCATGCCTCAAGGAACCATATGGGTAGGTCAAGGCAGGATGCAGACATAGCCGTAGAACTTGGAGCATGTTTCTTTATTGGGGTTCATGGGTACAGTGCTTTGGGGTTCCCAGGCTAAGGCCAGATTAGTCAATTCAAACCAAAAGAGTAGGTTTTTTGTGCATTCAACAGGGGTCTTATCTAAGGGGCACACATGGGGATGACCCTGGGAGGTGGGGAGACTGTTGTTCATGAGGGTTACAGGGAAGTCCTATCAGGACTCCACGATTTTCTCATGACTGCATGGGCTTATGTCTAGGACCTGGGCTTGCATGAGGGACTACTGTCAGTTTAAGGTCACTGCAGGATGCTTGCCAAACAAAATAGATACTGAGGCAGCAACACCATGGAGTGCAGCTGACTGGAGCTCTAGGCAGTGTTCTCCCCCCTTTTTTTGCATGAGTGGTAGCATATATGAAATACTGTCCTATGTCTTGCTTTACTGACTTAAACAGTCATGGTGATTATTCCATATCATGATTCCATTATGAGTTTACAAAGCCTTCTTTGCTTCTTTTGCATGGTATTCCATAGACATATCGTAATTTATGTGAGCAATCCCATATTGTTGAAAAGTTAGATTGTCTTTTGCTAGTAAGATTTATGCACAGTGAACAAACTTGTATATACATTATTTCTCACTAGTAAAGTATATTTGTAGGATAAACTTACAGATGTAGCATTGTTGGCTCATTTTATACTTTGATAAATATTTCCAAACTGTTTTTCATAAAGATTTTAACAATTTACTCTCCTAATAGCAGCTTGTATTTGTTTTGCCTACATTAATCCTGAGGACTAAATGTGTTTTATTTAGGTTATAAGCCCCAAGACTTCAAAGGTACTACAAAAATCACCCTCTTCGAGAAGAATGGTAAGAAAACAAATAATTTCCTTTCCTCTCTTATTAAGTCTTTACATGGTATTCCTGGCCATGTCTATCATACCTGTGTATAATTTTGGTCATGATCTATCCTTCAAACTTGACATCTCATGTGACACATGAAGAAATAGTATAGGGAGAGAGTAAACTAACTGATGACTCAAAATGTATGGTTAGGTATCCTGTACCTAAGTATGAATAGTGTAGGAATTTATAGGGAAAATGTGATTATTATGATCTCAGGTTCAGTAATGTCAGGAAAGTGGAATTTATCTTACAGAGGTTTCTGGAGTGAGGTGGAGGGTGCTGGAAGAGGAAGGACTGCAATAACCAAAACAATGTTTTAGGAGTTTAGTCTTGGTTCCAATAACCTGACACCCTGCACCCTCAACATCCATTCCCTGGCATGTTCTCCTGGTTCTCACTGGTGATAGTATAAAAGCACCATAATAACTGACCCTATTTTAAAATATTTTCTATTAGCTTCCTACCGTAAAATAGGAAGATTTAAATATTAGAAATTTATTCTCTCACAGTTCTGCAGGCTAAAAGTCTGAAATCAAGGTGTCTGCTTAGTTCGTTCCTTCCGAAGGCTGTGACAGAAGAATCTTTTCTTGATATCATTCCTAGTTTTCGGTGATGCCACCAATTCTTGATATTCCTTAGCTTGTAGACACATCACTTTAATCTCTGCCTCCATCTTTACACACTGTGTGTGTGTCTGTGTCCCTTCTCCTTTTATAAGAACAATAGCCATATTGGATATATATCCACCCTACTCCATTATGATCTCCTCTGAGCTAATTACAGCTGCCAAGATCGTATTTCCAAATATGGTTATAGTCTCAGCTACTGGGGGTTAGGACTTGAATATATCTTTTGGGGGGACACAGTTCAACCCATTAACATATCCTTTTAGGGTATATATTAAGTCAATTCAACTTCAACCTTCTATATCAACCATGCCATCCTTTGAGAATGTTTCAATTTAAAATGATTACCTGAGGAGTTAGCAAGATCCCCAGATAGAAATTTAGTTCTATTCATATCTAGGTAGATAATTAATTTCTAAAATATTCAAAATTTGGAAACAAAAGGAATTTTCCATTCAATCCTGACAAAACAGAAATTGCTGTTAATTAGACCATACCATTCTTTGATTATGTCATTTAATAAGAGCTCCAAGGTAGGTCTGCAGGCCAGTCTTGTCACCTGAAAACAGATACTCAGCAGTCCATATGCTGCTCTTCACAGTGTTATCACATACTTTAAGGGATCAAGTTTTAAGTATTCATTTGGAATTCAACTTGGACCCCCCAATCATTGTTATTAACTAAAGATAAAGGATATTTAAAAAGCTGTATTTTCTAATTGATTCTCAAATTTTTCAGATCTTGATCTTAAAATATACTGAAATACAGAATTCTGCTGAAAGTAAGTTTATTTAGGGCACAGTTCAAGGAAATGAACTGATAGAAACACGAGATTTTTTTTCATAACCTAGTGTTACTTCTCTCATTTTAAGGCAATATAGCAAGGCCTTAAGCATGTAACAAAAGTAAAATCCCAGGTTAAGTTTAGTGAATCTCCTGTTGAAAAGAAAGTAGTGTTTCATTCTGGTTAAATGCTGGTCACACTCACATGCTTTCCTAATTTGCATTGCCACTGATTTTCATATCTCTTAAGTACAATCATTAAAGTGATATTCATCCTAGTTTGACAGATTGTACTGAATTTTTCCTCATTGGCAGTCTGACGTGCCGGAAGGAGTCATAAGGGTCCATGCTCCGCTTCTCTCTAAGGTGTCCATGGCCATTCAGCTCACTAGTCACACCAAAGCCAAAGACATACTGGCAAAATTTCAATATGAGAACAGGTGAGTATAAAGGAATATAGGTCTCTGTACAAGGAAGGTGATCTTTTTTCAGATTAAGTAACTTTCCAAGGCATTTACAAACTTGACCTTTTTGGAAAATTAGAACCTGTTTACTTTGGGAACTTTACCAATAGAGTAAATCAAAAGTAGAGAAAGAGATTAAGTAGACCATAGAATTGTTGGTAATAGAAGTGGGTTTTTTGTTTTGTTTTTTGTTTGTTTGTTTGTTTAAGGAAGTTCTACAAATGGGAGTCTTAACAGACATGTTCTGTCTTGGTGGTTTCATTTACTACATGAGTTTTACCATTTATTAGAATAAAAAATATAACAAGTTAGTTTTAGAGATACCTGGAATAACATTTCAGGCTTCATTGAGCTTCAACATGCCTAAATCAGATAGTTTATGTAGTTAAATGGACATCATAGCCGTTGTTTTCCTTAAAATAAACTACTAATAAATCTTGGAATCAGAATTTTATTTACAAAAAAAAAAATCCTTTTGCTTCTCCCATAAGTCACTTTGAAGTAGCATTAATCAGGATAATTTTCTTCAGGCATGCTTATTCAAGGATAAACATTTGCCTTGAGGTTTTGAAAAGATGAGAAACATGATAGACCCTAGTTTAAATCCATCCAGTAGAGAACAAGTACAGCTTGATGGTCTCTAGTAAAACTGATGGATATTATTTTTATTCTTGTTTTTGTTGTTGTGAGAGAGAGAGTGTGAGAGCAAGAGGGGAGGGGGTGTTGGGAAGGGCAGAGGGAGAGAATCTTAAGCAGACTCTGTGCTGAACAGAACCCAGTATGGGACTTGATCTCACAAGATCATGACCTGAGGTAAAATCAAGAGTTGGACACTTAACTGAGCCACCCAGGTGCCCCAAAACTAATGGAAATTCCTAAAGAGAAGCTCTCCAGTACTGTTAAGAAGGGGTACCCATGTTGAGGGGGAGGGAAAAAAAGCCAGTTGCAGAAGCTTACATACCACAAGACTCCATTCATACAACATTTTGAAGTAACAAAATTTTAGAAATGGAGGGTATGTTAGTAGTTGCTGGGAGTTGAGAGGACATCGTGGAAGGGAGATGGGTATGGTCATAGAAGCGCAACACAGGATCTGACAGTGTTGGAGTTGCTCAGTATCTTGACTCTGGTGGTAGATCAAAGAACCTCTACATGTTATGTTGAACTTAATATACACACACAGAAATGAGTACAAGTGGGAAATTTGAATAGGATAGATGGATCATATCAATGTCAGTATGTTAACTGACATTATACTGTATTTGTATAAAATGTTACAATTTGGGGAGAAGTGGGCAGAGAGTATGAGGAATTTTTCTGTATTTTTTCTTACAACTACATATGAACCTACCACTATCTCAAAAATATTTCAATTTAAAAAAACAAGAGTAACCAATAAAAGTAATCTATGGTGTTAGAAGACAGGATAGAGGCTTTCTGTGAGAGTGAAGGGAATAATAACTAAGAACTCATGACAGTGGCTTCTGAGAAGTTCGTTTTTTAGTATTATGGGGGTGGGTTACACGGTATGTTCACTTTGTGAAAATTCTTCAAGTATTCTTACGATGTGTGCTTGTATGTTCTCTTTTTCCTTCTCCATATACACATGTATATCTATGTATGTGTATATATAAGCATACATAAAAAAGAAAAGAGTAGACAGGGGCCATCAGGAGTGCAGAAAACTTACTTCTCTCTGTTGCTAGAACACTGTAAGTAGTTACCACTAGGCAGTCATAGAGAGACTTGAAATGCCACTGGGGGGATGTGACCATCCAAATGATTGCTAGTCACATGCGTGATAAAATTGCTTTTGTACTCTGATGTAGACCTTTTGTAGAATGAAAATGTTCTAATAAAAATAGATTAGAATCCGTGACTATAGATAGATGCAAATCCTTTGTATGAACTTCAAAAGATGTTATTCAGTCCAATTTCTTCACTAGTTAGAACTGTGGCCAATTTTAGTTTAGTTGTAAACTGTCCCATTTTTGCCTTTTTCACTAAAGGCTTATTTTCTGACTAACCACTTCCTCTGTTTAAGTAAAAAAGGGGGAGAGAAGTCCCATTCCTCCCAGATCTCCTCTTATAACTAAAACCCCTCAGACATAACACAATGAAAGTTGGACACACTCTCTCTGAAAGGTAGACAGACAAGTGCTGACTGTCTAGGGACATTGGGCCTGTGAAACAACATGATGGTGAATTCCTGGATTTCCTTGTTGCCTCCCATATGTCCAGGCAGGGAGACATATAGGCAGGAACCTTCAGCCTGGCACAGGAATGCACAATAAAGGAGCTCCAGGAAGACCCTGTCCCTACAGCCAAAGGACTGGTGAGAAGATGGCCTAACCACAAAAAACCATTCTGGCAATACCTGCCCTACTCCAACCAAACACCAACAGAAAAAGCACACCACTACACCTGTGTTTTCAGTGGGACCAAGCAGGCAACTGATCTACATGCCCCACCCAACAGAATCAGGTGGTGATCCAGTTCCCAACCACAACATTGTCAGCAGGGTCCTGCCTCTAGCTGAGTCTCCTCCCCCCAGCAGCAGTGAGACCTAACAAATCAGTGCAAGGCAGACAGTTAGCCACCAGCTTCACCCCAGCCTCAGTGAAGTCCAGTGAAGAGCTGAGCTTTACCCTCAACCAACAGCAACAAAGCAGCAAGAGTCAAACTTCTGTTTCCTCTCCCTGGTGGCAGCAGAGCCCAGCAGGGAGCTGATCTTACACCCCCAATCTGAGGCAGCAAAGCAGTGGCAGTTGGTGCCCCACATTCACTAGGAAGGTGTCAGTGGGGCCCAGCAAAAAGCTGAACATACACATCCACCCAGACCTTATGCTAAACTTCAACAGGAGGAATGCCTGCCAAAAAAAAAAAGATTAAATAAGATCCGGAGTCTCATAATATCCAAAGTATCTGCAGTATGATACAAAATCACTCATTATACCTAAAACCAGGAAAATCACAATAGGGATGAGAAAAGACAATTGAGAAATGCCAGTGCTAAATTGAATCAGATGTTAGAACCACCTGCAAGGATTTTATAGCAGCCATCACACACACGCGTGCGCGCGCACACACACACACACACACACACTTCAACAAGCATTATTAATTATCTTGAACCAAATGAAAAAATAGAAAATCTCAGCAAACATATAGAAGTTATAAAAAAGAATGAAATGAAAATTATGGAACTGAAAGATAGAATAACTGAAATAAATTCACTGGTTGGGCTCAGTAGTAGAGTGGAGATGACAGAGAATATAATCCATAAACTTGAGGAATATCAGTAGCATTATTTATTCTGAACAACAGGAAGCAGACAGACCCAAAAAAGTGAATAGAGCTTCAGGGATCCATGGACGGTAACAAAAGAGCTAACATTTGATCACTGCAGTACCAAAAGTAGAGAAAACAAGAACTAAAGAAAGTATTTGTAAGTAAATAATGACTGAAAACTTTCCAAATTAGCAAAAGGTATAAACCTATATACTCAAGAAACTAAGTGAACCCAAACAGGACAAAACAAAGAAATCCCTTCCAAAACAACATAATCAAACTTGTAAAAATTAAAGACAAAGAAAAAAACCTTGACATCATCCAAAGAGAAGCAATGCCTTTCTTATAGGGAACACCAATTCTAATTACTGCAGATTTCTCCTTTTTCATTTGAAACTCTGGAGGCCAGATGGAAATGGCATAGCATCTTTCCAACTACTGAAAGAAAGGAACTGACAACCTTGAATTCTATGTCCTCCAAAAAATAGCTTTCAGAATGAAGGGGAAACAAAGACATTCTTGGGTGAGGCAAAACTAAAGGATTTTGTTTCTAGCAAATTTACCCATAAAAAGTGGATAAAGGAAGTTCTCTAAATAGAAATAAAATTATAACAAAGACTTGAAACATCAGAAAGGAAAGGAGAACATCAGAATGGGTAAAAAATAGTAACTGTAATAGATTATCCTACTCCTTATGCATTTCTTAAATCATATTTGATGGTTGAAGCAAAAATTGCACCACTGGATATGGTGCTCAGTGTATGCTGAGGACAGATTTAAGACCTTACTTATTTATTTATTTTAGGAGTTTTATTTATATATGAAAGCGAGGGCAGGGGAGAGGGTAGGGACAGAAGGAGAGGGAGAGCGAGAATCTCAAGCAGACTCCCTGCTCAGTGAGGAGCAAGAAACAGGGCTTCATCCCAAGACCCCAAGAACACGATGTGAGCTGAAATCAGGAGTTGGACACTCAACCTACTGAGCCACCCAGGCGCCCGAGACAATTATATTTTAAAAGGGTTGAGGCTCAGCATTCTTTATTGTCTGCATAGAGCCTTCTCTCCAAAGACTGTAGTATGTAAAGAGAGAAAAAGAATAACTTCATAGTTATGAAATCTGACCTCAGCAGGTGACTAAGGTTAACATCAACAATGATAAAGTCACACTGAGAGTATGTAGCCCTGATTTAAAAAAAAAAAAAAAAAAAAAAAGATGAAAATGGCCCTTCTGTCGCTTTCCTCCCAAGAACACATAACTCCTCTGACAACTGCAAGAAAAACATCAGACAAATCCCAGTTTGGAAACATTCTGCAAAATACCTGATGAGTCCTCCTCAAAGACATCAAAAAACAAGGCAAGTGTGAGAAACAGAGGAGCCTGATGAGATATGACTATATATTAGTTTCCCAGTATTTCCATAACAAATTACCTCAAACTAGGTGGCTTAAAGCAACAGAAATGTATTCTCTCAGTTTAGGAGGCCAGAAATCTGAAAGAAATGTGTCAGCAGGGTTTGTTCCTTCTGGAAGCTGGGAGGGAGACGCTCTCCCATTCCTCTCTCCTAGCTTCTAGTGGTTGACAACATCTTTGGCATTCTATAGTTTATAGACATATCACTTCAGTCTCTCCATCTTCACATCCTCTTTGTGTTTCTCTGTATTTTCTCCCCTTCTTAAAAGGATAATGAAATATTGTGAGCAGACTATATACTCAAAATCACAAATTTAGAAGAAATGGACCAGATCCTCAAAAACCACAAGTTACCAAAAGACAACAAAGATGACATAGTTTTGTAGCCTTTAAAGGAATTGAATCTTTAAAATTTTCCAAAAAAGAAATCTTCAAGTCTAGATGGTTTCACTGGAGAATTCTAGCAGATGTTTAAAAAATGAACACCAATTTACCACATTCTTTTACCAGAAAGTAGAAGAGGAATGGACATTACCTAACTCATTTTATGAAATTAGTATTGACCAGATACCAGACAATAAACAAACACTGAAGACTAATATCTCTCATGAACTTAGAGACAAAAGTCCTCAACAAAACATCAGCAAAGCTAATCCAGCGTATATTAAAGGAATTACAGTGACCAAGTGGGATTCATTTCAGGTATGCAAGTTTGGCTCAATATTTAGAAATTAATGTAGAATCCACCATTGGATTGGAGAAAAATCATATGATCATGTTAAATGATACAGAAGAAACATTTGACAAAATCCAATACCCATTCATGATAAAAACCCTCAGTTAACTAGGAAAAGGGAAGAACTTCCTCAACTTGATAAAGACCATCTACAAAAATCTACAGCTAATATTATATTTAACGATGAAAGATTGAACACTAGATCAAGAACACTACTTTTATTAAAATACTATTAGAAGATTAAGCCACTGCGATAAGACAAAAACAGAAAAGAAAAGGAAGGAAGGGAAGGGAAGGGAGGAAGGAGAAAAGGAAAAGGAGGAAGGAAGGGAGAAGGAGAAAGAAGAAAGAAAGGGAGGGAGGGAGGATGAAAAAGAAGAAAGAAAAAAGGGAGGGAGGGAGGGAGAAAGAGAGTGAAAGAAAGAAAAAAGAAGGAAAGATTGATTGTAGGAGAGGAAAAAACCGCCCATAACAAAGTTCATTTTAAATTTACAGTTCACTGGTATTAAGTACATTCACATTATTGTATAATCATTACCACCATCCATCTCCAGAAAGATTTTATCATTGCATACTCAGACTCTGTCCCCAGTAAACAGTAACTCCTCATTCCCCTCTCCCCCAGCCACTGGTAACTGCTCTTCTACTTTCTGTCTCTATGAATTTGACTATTCTAATAACTGAAAATTTTAAAGATTTTATTTATTTTAGAGAGAACAGAGGGAAGGGGCAGAGGGAGAGGGAAAGAAACCCAAGCAGACTCCCTGCTGATCATGGAGACAGACGCAGGGCTCGATCTCACAACCCTGAGATCATGACCTGAGCCAAAACCAGGAGTTGGAGAGCTAATGAACTGAGCCACCCAGGCGAGAAGTACAAAAGCAATTCAGTGGATGAAAGGTAGCCTTTTTAACAAATGATAAATGGTGCTCTAGCAGTTGAACATCTATAGACAAAAAACCCACAATGGATCACAGACTTAAATGTAAAACTATAAAACTCTTAGAAAATAGCAAAGGAGAAAACCTCTGTGATGTCAGGCTTGTAAAGAGTTCTCAAAGTTGACATCAAAAGCATGATCCAGGCGTGTCTGGGTGGTTCAGTCAGTTGAGTGACCAACTCTTAATTTCAGCTCAGGTCATGATCTTGGGGTCCTGAGATCAAGCCCTATGCTGGGCTCCATGCTCAGCCGGAAGTCTGCTTAAGATTCTTTCCCTCTATCCCTTCCCCCATGCTTTCTTTCTCAAAAATAGATAAATAAACCTTAACAAAAAAAAAGCATGATCCATAAGAGGTAAAAATTGATAAATTGGACATCATCAAGATTGAAAACATACAGAAAAATTCAATGAAAAGGATGAAAAGACAAAGATACTTACAAACTTCACTTCCAGTAAATGACTAGTATCTAGAATATAAAAGGAAAACTCAATACTCAAAAATAAGAAAGAAACAACCTAATTTAAAGATGAGCAAGGGGTGCCTGGCTGGCTCAGTTAGTTGGTTGTCTGCCTTCGGCTCAGGTCATGATCCCAGGGTCCTGGGATGGAGCCCCACATTGGTCCCCTTGCTCAGCAGGGAGCCTGCTTCTCTCTCTCCCTCTGCCTGCCACCCTCGCTACTATGCTTTCTCTCTGTCAAATAAATAAACAAAATCTTAAGAAATAAATGAAAAATAAAAATGTATATCACTGGAGAGTATATACTGATACACATTTGCACATGAAAAGATGTTCAGTATCTTTAACGATTAGGGAAATGCAAAGCCACAATGATATCATTAAACATCTCAGAATGGCTAAAATAAATAATAGTGAGGACACCAAATACTGGCAAAGACACAGAGATCTTTGGATCACTCATACATTGGTGGTGGCTGTAGTCATTCTGTAAAACTGTATGGCAGTTTCTCATAAAACTAAATATGCCACAGCCATGTGACCCAGTTTTCACACTCATGGTTTTTGGGTTTTTTTTTTTTTTTTCTTTCAAATAATGCCTGCAGCCAATGTGGGGCTTGAACTCACAACTCAAAAGATAAAAAACAAACTTCAAAAGTCACATGCTCTATGGACTGAACCAGATAGGTGCCCCATGGACATATATCCCAAAGAAATGAAGATTATATTCACACAAAAACCTGTATGCAAATGCTTATAGCAACTTCATTTATAATAGTAAAATCTGGAAAAGAAACCCAGACTTTCTTCAACAGGTAAATAACAAACTGGCACATCCATGCCATTGTGTGCTACTGAGCAAATAAAATATCACACCGTGGATGAATCTCCACCAATTTATGGTGATTGAAAAAAAAAAAAAAAGCCAATACAAAAAGTTCTAAACTCTGTGTGTCCACTTATTTAACATTTTTGAAATGACAAACTTCTAGAAAATGTGGAATAGAGTGGAGGTTACCAGGGATAAGGGATGAAGGTAGGAAATGAGGATGAAGAGGGAGGTGAGTGGCTTATTACAGGGAAACAAGAGGGGACTGGTGGCGATGGAAATGTTTTGCATCTTGACTGAATCAATGTTGACATTCTGGTTGTGGTAACGCACTAGAGCTTTGCAAGATTTTACTACTGGGGAAAACTGAGTAAAGGGTACATAGGATCTATCTGTGCAGTTTCTTAAAACTATAAGCAAATCTACAATGATCCCAAATAAAAATGTTTAATTAAAGAAAATAGGTCACACATCTTTCTTCCTCACAAACAGCTGAGGTCAATCTTTTTGAAAGTAACAAAACTGAAAGTCATTGCTCAGGTAGGATGAAGATCAGCCAACTCTTCTACCGCAGCATTCTAGTCTGGGGTGGAGAAATTAAATTGGACAATTATTATCTCTGACTTGCTTTCACTATAGAGCAAAAATATGCAATGAAGTCAACATTAAGTAGTTTGAAAAGCTTTAGGCAAGTTCAGAAACATGGCACAGACAGAAGAGAGAATCCCATGCAATTTTTGGCAAGAAGAGAAATGAAATCTGACTTCTTTTGAGAGTAATGTGACCAATGACAGAGGCAGTATTAAACATGCGGCTGCTCCTTCACCAGCCTTGCTCTGTCTGTAACAGTCCTCTTTTAAATGAAGCTGACATTTGTGGGTAGAATGGGCTCGAGGTTGCTGTAGGGCACAGCAGTGTTCATCTTGGTTTGGAATAGTCCCACCCTCCCTGTGCCTTGGATGCTTGGCCGTATCAAACAAATGGAATTATTTATCATAACCTTGATCATAATAATGATTTGTGAGTATATTTCATTCAAGGCAGAAGGAATTGTTGCCATGATATTTAAAGCACAAAATTACCTCAAATCATGGAAGAAGGTTAAATTACATTACTTTTTTTTTTTCAGTCATGGTTCCTCAGAATGCTTTAAGATTCAGAACCAACGGTTATATGAAATTGGAGGAAATATAGGTAAGCATTCTCTAACGGTTTTTACTCCTAAATTTTCTGATTACTCTAAAAGAAATATGATGCTATTATTGTAAAAGCATATTTTACGAGTTTCTTAAATATAAATTCAACATCAGTAAGTTTCTGAATTTTTAATTTCATATGAGAACAGTTGTATAAATTTTCTAAAATATTTTCAAAATTTAAATGTGGATATTTTAATTGATACAGAGCAGACTTTGGGGTCTTTTAAGTGTGCCTCAGAGTTGGAAAGTCGCTTCCTGGAGATCCCTGCAAAACAAAGAACATCATGGAACGTTAACACTGTGACACCTTTCTTGTTTAACTTCCCTGGTTTCATCCTCAGCCCAGGTTAATTCTTCCTATTTCCCTGAGGGGGAACAAAAAGGAATCCAATAGAAATTGCCTCTGCTTGCATCTGTGTCCTGCCTTCCCCTTTGTTCAGGTCTTCTGCTTGCCCTCCGCCCAGTCTGGATGAATCACGCCAGCTCCCACTGATGGCCAACACCTCCATGTGTGCCTCACTTTGTGTTCCCGCCTGCCACTCGGGGCCTTGCTTCAGCCCCCCATTCTCCCCAGCACCATCAGCTTTTCCCTCCCAACTACATCATTTCCAACTACATAAACGTTTTTTGTAATATTCATCTTCACAAAACTCTCTCAAACCTACTTCCATTCCAGTGTTCTGCTTTACAGCAAGAACTCCTCGAATCCATTTTCTGTTCTCCAATTTCTTCCTCTTGTTCTCTCTCGAAACCACTCCAGTCAAGCATTACCCCGCAACACTTCACCAAAATTGCTCTTGTTGAGGCCACCAGAGAACTCTTATGTTGTGAAATCCAGTCATTCGTTCTGTCTTGATAACTGCCGGAGTTGATCTTTCCCTTCTTTGAAAACACACGTTCTTCACCTGGTTCAAGGACAACCTAAGCTTCTGTTTTGTCCCACTTCACTGGCAGCTCCTGAGTCTCTTTTGCCTGCTACTTCTCATCCTCTCAACCTTCAATGTGGAAAACTGTGGGGTCAGGCCTCCGAACTCTTCTACCTACACCTAACTTCCTTGGCGAGCTCAGTCCTTCTCATTGCTTTAAATGCACCTGCGGGCAGTTGCCTCTCAAGTTATATACAGACTTCCTCTCAGCACCGGCTTTGCGGATCCATTCACCAGGCACATTTTGCCTCGAGCCTTTGCATTTACTCTGACTTTTTCCCAGAATGCTCTCCTTTTGAGTGTTCATTTCTCACTCCCTCACCTCTCACAGGTGTTTGTCACTGTGTCACCTTCTCAAAGAGACCTTCCAGGATCTCACCTTCTCTAGGTGTGCCTTCCCAGCTTTGTTGTTCTCTCATGTTCTTATCACCACAAGACTTACTTTATATTATACTTGCTTATTTGCTGTTGTCTTTATTTGCCCTCAGGGCAAATATTTTTCACTATCTGATGCCTCTCTGTAGCCCTTAGCCCCTGGAATAGTGCCTGGCATATAATAACTTCCAAGAAATATTTCATAAATGAATCAAGCAAGGAGTCAGATATTGGTGGTTTCATTTGAGACTTTGATATACATTTCAAACACACTGTACATAAAGATTTTCAAATGTATTTGCTTCATGGAATGATCTTTTTGTTGTCATCATTTCTAGATTTCCTGTCTGTGGGAATTGCATCTGTAGTAAAGAAACAAAATGACTATTCCTGAAGTGAATGTGATTTTAATCTTTTCTAGCCCTGGTCAAGTTACTGTCTGTAAAACCATTAGAGAACATGCATTATTATATAAATGGCCAGTTTATACCTTAGACAGGTTCTTGCTGTATTTTCCTAATTTATGTGCTGAGTCTAGGGAACAATTTGCCTATAGCTGGTATATCTGTTTTTTCCCACAGTTTGGCATGGGGTTTATTTGAAGTATTTCACAGTCAGAAAGAAACAAGGGAAGGAATAAGGCAGGCAGGCAGACTGGCTTTGCTAAAGAACCTTGAACATGTATCTACTTAACCTTTGGCTGAGAGAACTGTCTTGGCCTTATTTGAACCTTCCCAACACACACACGCACATGCACACATAGAAGTGTGCACTCTCGAAAACATTCTCTGATTTTCTCTTTCCTTTAGGGCAGCATTGCTTGGATCCAGATGCTTATATATTGGATATATATCATGTAAATCCTCAAGCAGAGTGGGTGATTAAACCCCAACCAAGTTTTTGAAATAATCCCCAAGATGGCACCTATCACGTATTATATGCCAAGAAGATTCTACATTTGGTAGGGAAAATAACAAGACTGTTTTCGACATGTTTGTTTCAATAACCTTCTTGGTGTTTCTCAGCCCAAGTGGCATCTCCCAGCATTGTCAACATGAACTGTGGAGGAGGAGGAGCTGGTTGACTGAGCTGAGGCTTTCTCCTATGGTTCCTTAATAATGGTGAAGGAAAGACACTGTGATTGTTCCAGAGGAAAGGCCAACCTAGTATATGGAACTCTATAATCATTTCTAGTACTTTGACTTCACAACAGAAATGAACTTCGTCTTATACCTAGAGATAAAAAATACTTCTTTATGTAGCAAATGCTACGAAACACAGACATGGAAGAGTCTTTGTTTTACTTGCGTTATATATATGTTGACCTTTTTGAACAAGAATGCCAGAAGTATCAATAATTTCTGCTCTGAAAATAATTCAGATCTGCTTTTCAAAGGGAATTAGTTTCCAAAGTTATGCATCCAATATCCATGCCCTTGACTTGCTCCCAAATTGGAGGAGGATGAACTTCTGTTGAAAGAACACTGTATTGTTACATATGTTGTACTGTATTATGACTATCCACATTCTGGTGCAAGTAAACATTTCTCTATTGTGGGTTATTGAAAATTTATATTTTTAAAGCTTGTTCTCTTATGAGCACAGGTTCCCATAGCAAAGGTTAGTTTGACAGAGGGTGTTCTTATGCTTTCATAACCTTCTGTGTTGTTACTAGTCACAGACCTCTATCTTTTCATCATGATTATGGTGCTCAATGAAAAGCTTTCTCTGTGCCAGGCACAGATTTCCTTTCCTGATCAAACATCATTTTTTTATATTTTACAACTGTAGATTGTCACTTCTGTAGCCCCAACTTAAAAATAGAGAATTGTCTTTATCCAACTGCTCTTCATCCAAAAGTACTGAAAAATACTCTTATATCCAGGTTTTATATGCTGTAAAAGCAAATTGTTTCTGTTCATCATTCATAGATTGGCCAAGCACTGTGGATTAGCCTCAGGCTTTAAAGTCAGATGCGTATTTGTTAAGCTGGAAACTGTCTTACCATGAAGATCCTGCAGAGCCATTTTACAGACCTACAGTCGGTGAGAACACACAGTTCTCCACAGTCTAATGGAGAGCAAATCCACAATGTGCTGAAGGGTCAGACAGCTCTGCCTTTCATCTTAAGACTGCAGATATAGGTCTAAGGTTAGCTAGAAATGGGGACAGAGGTCTCATTTATCCTACATGCATGCTTTGGATTAGAATCCACAGATTGAGATTTCATTGAATTTATAATGATTTTAATGAGATTTAATGTCCAAATGACTCTCTTTTGCAGTTCAAACAGTAACGTTATAAATACAGAAAACATTTTACCAATGCTTCGGTAAAAAAGTGTTTTTACCAATGTTCCTACTTACCAATTCTCAAAACACGATATAATAATTTAAGCTCACATATAGAAGAAATCTTTTTTTTTTTTTTTTAAAGTAGGCTCCACACCCTGGGTGGAGCCCAACCCTGGGCTTGAACTCACGATCCTGAGATCAAGACCTGAGCCAAACAAAATCAAGTGTCAGATGCTTAACCGACTGAGCCACCTAGGTACCCCTAGAAGAAATCTTTTATATGCAGCATTATTATGCCTTGATATCTCTAAAAACATTATTTATATTCAACATGTAGATAATTATGTTTCTGGACATTAGGATTTTTTTATTTTTATAAAAAACTCAAATATCCATTCATTTTGTTTGAGAATTTTTATTTCCTGTGCCTGAAAACCCATTAGAAGATAAATATGTGTCGTGTAGGTTTTTATATATTCCTACATTTCATCACTTTTCAATGTTTCACTAATTGATGGCATGTTAGTTTACATAATGAATTTCAAGAGTCTGAAAAAAATGCTTTTATTGTTTTTGAAATTCAGAACAATAGGAGTAAACATTTTATTTTATGCAGCTGCTAACTTCCGGAGAATAAGATGGCAGTAATTTATACCCACACACGGAAGAAATTCTTCAAATTAGCTATCTTATACTTCTGTTTATACATGAAAACAGGGACTGATTTTTCTCATCATGTTTCCTATAGTTTCATATAGTTAAATTCTATCGTAGAAGACTTTTTTAATCAAAGATTTGCAGATCTAATTTTTTACTTGACAATTTTTCCATGTTTGGGCTGAAAACATGTTAGAACCTGTGTATAAGTTCCAAAGGTTTTAAGATTTACTCCACTTATCATTACTTTTAAATAAGTGGCTGACAGATGACAGGAGACAACTGTTTCTGAATATCTTACTTTTGTGTGATGTCAGATGTTAAAGACTTAGCTAACCCAATAGCTTTAAATTAATCACTTGAATGTATTTAAGTATGTGTGACAACTTTCAAATAACTATGTAATATGGAAGGCCATGTCAATACCAGTATCTCTGAATAAAACTTTTATTCTTAGTCATAGGATAAACTGAGTGATTAGAGAATTTCAGCAGACACACAGACTAATTTTTGTATGAGTAGAGGTTCTTTTTACTGATTTTATTCTTAAAGAATAAATAAACCCCTACAATTACAATTTAAAAATTTCTGTCAAATAATTATTGAAACTATCTTTGCTTTATCAAAAGTTATTTTAAAATAGTTATGGTAGTCTGTAAAAATGAGTAGTATGTATGCAAACAAGAGTCAGATCCTGGGCTCCTAGATTCAGTTCTCACTAGCTTCCCACCCACCTCCTCCCAAGTGCTCTTGGTGTACAGTTAGGAGAATAATATCAAGCAAGGTATTAGAGAAAGTTAACATTTTAGTGACACTTAGAAAAAACCCTAGAGCTGGCTCATTGTTTTCTCCATTTTGCAAAAGAGGATCCCTTTGTTAAGCAGGTAATTGGGGGATATGATTCTTAGAGCCAGTAAGATCTTCAAATAAACTGGAATATTAATTTCGTTACAATGTGTACACAGTATAAACTACCTCACGTGTCTTTCTTGGGAAAAAATTAATGGACTTTAACAGTTTTTGTTACAAACTGTCCTTGAGTCATCTTATTTAAGTCACTTCAGTTAGCTTTCAATGTACATTTAATAATATACATTTAATGATGTAAAATATTTTTTAGTGCAAGCTTTAAAGCCAAAAATACTCTGTACCTGTGACCTGTGTTATACTCTGAGAGAATTCATGTCCCTTAGTCATTGTCATGTGTGTCTCACCATGTTGCAGTGCAGGTCTTCAAGTGTGGGAATTAATAGTCCTCTCTTCTTTCAGGCATTTTTTCAACTGCTTTCCCCATACTGCACTTGACTGAAAAGTAGCATGAGATTAAAATGTCCCTTCTTTCTTTCAAGCATATTTCAAATGTTTTTCACAAATGTTTTACATGCCTGAAAAGAATATATATTATGGGATTAAATAGCTCGTAGTTTCTGACAGGCATTTTCAACTGTTTTCCATCAATATGTCATTTAATAAAAAATAATATGACATGGATTAAAATGTTTCTTTCAAACATTTTAAATAGTTTTCCACATACACACACCTTAATTTAAAAACATCTTTTCTGGAGTCAAGATGGCGGAGAAGTAGCAGGCTGAGACTACTTCAGGTAGCAGGAGATCAGCTAGATAGCTTATCTAAAGATTGCAGACACCTACAGATCCAACGGGAGAGCGAAGAGAAGAACAGCAACTCTAGAAACAGAAAATCAACCACTTTCTGAAAGGTAGGACTGGCGGAGAAGTGAATCCAAAGCGACGGGAAGATAGACCGCGGGGGGAGGGGCCGGCTCCCGGCAAGCGGCGGAGCAACGGAGCACAAAATCGGGACTTTTAAAAGTCTGTTCCTCTGAGGGACATCGCTCCAGAGGCTTAACCGGGGTGAAGCCCACGCGGGGTCAGCGCGGCCTCAGGTCCCGCAGGGTCACAGAAGGATCGGGGGCGTCTGAGTGTCGCAGAGCTTACAGGTAGTAGAACGGGGAAGCCGGCTACAGAGACAGAGCCGAGGAGTGAGCTCTCAGCTCGGGGTTACCATGAACCGGTCGCAGGCTCGGTCAGCTCGGAGCGCGGCCGGAGGCCAGGGTGACGGGAGTAATTGGGCTCTGTTCTCTGAGGGCGCACTGAGGAGTGGGGCCCCGGGCTCTCAGCTCCTCCGGGCCGGAGACTGGGAGGCCGCCATCTGCATTCCTGCCCTCCGGAACTCTACGGAAAGCGCTCAGGGAACAAAAGCTCCCGAAAGCAAACCCGAGCGGATTACTCAGACCGGACCGGCCTGGGTAAGGGCGGTGCAACTCCGCCTGGGGCAAAGACACTTGAGAATCACTACAACAGGCCCCTCCCCCAGAAGATCAACAAGAAACCCAACCAGGACCAAGTTCACCTACCAAGGAGTGCAGCGGAATTCCAGAGGAGGAGAAAGCAAAGCACGGAACTCATGGATTTCTCCCCATGATTCTTTAGCCTTGCAGTTAATTTAATTTTTTTTTCTTTTTCAATTTTTTTTCCTCTTCTTCTGCTAATTTTTTTTAACTTTTACCCTTTTCTTTTTTAACGTTTTTAAACTAGTTTATCTAATATATATATTTTTTTCCTTTTGATATTTTTTCTTTCTTGGTTTTCTTTTTTTAATTGTTTCTTTTTTTTTTTTTTTCTTAACCTTTTTATCCCCTTTCTCCCCCCTCATGATGGGATCTCTTCTGATTTGGCTAAAGCATATTTTCCTGGGGTTGTTGCCACCCTTTTAGTGTTTTACTTGCTCCTTCATATACTCTTATCTGGACAAAATGACAAGGCGGAAAAATTCACCACAAAAAAAAGAACAAGAGGCAGTACCAAAGGCTACGGACCTAATCAATACAGACATTGGTAAAATGTCAGATCTAGAGTTCAGAATGATGATTCTCAAGGTTCTAGCCGGGCTCGAAAAAGGCATGGAAGATATTAGAGAAACCCTCTCGGGAGATATAAAAGCCCTTTCTGGAGAAATAAAAGAACTAAAATCTAACCAAGTTGAAATCAAAAAAGCTATTAATGAGGTGCAATAAAAAATGGAGGCTCTCACTGCTAGGATAAATGAGGCAGAAGAAAGAATTAGCGATATAGAAGACCAAATGACAGAGAATAAAGAAGCTGAGCAAAAGAGGAACAAACAGCTACTGGACCATGAGGGGAGAATTCGAGAGATAAGTGACACCATAAGACGAAACAACATTAGAATAATTGGGATTCCAGAAGAAGAGGAAACAGGGGAGCAGAAGGTATATTGGAGAGAATTATTGGAGAGAATTTCCCCAATATGGCAAAGGGAACAAGCATCAAAATTTTTGAGGTTCAGAGAACCCCCCTCAAAATCAATAAGAATAGGTCCACACCCCGTCACCTAATACTAAAATTTACAAGTCTTAGTGACAAAGAGAAGATCCTGAAAGCAGCCCGGGAAAAGAAGTCTGTAACGTACAATGGTAAAAATATTAGATTGGCAGCAGACTTATCCGCAGAGACCTGGCAGGCCAGAAAGAGCTGGCATGATATATTCAGAGTACTAAACGAGAAAAACATGCAGCCAAGAATACTATATCCAGCTAGGCTATCATTGAAAATAGAAGGAGAGATTAAAAGCTTCCAGGACAAACAAAAACAGAGAATTTGCAAACACCAAACCAGCTCTACAGGAAATATTGAAAGGGGTCCTCTAAGCAAAGAGAGACCCTAAAAGTAGTAGATCAGAAAGAAACAGAGACAATATACAATAACAGTCACCTTACAGGCAATACAATGGCACTAAATTCATCTCTCTCAATAGTTACCCTGAATGTGAATGGGCTAAATGCCCCAATCAAAAGATACAGGGTATCAGAATGGATAAAAAAACAAAACCCATCTATATGTTGCCTACAAGAAACTCATCTTAAACCCGAAGACACCTCCAGATTTAAAGTGAGGGGGTGGAAAAGAATTTACCATGCTAATGGACATCAGAAGAAAGCAGGAGTGGCAATCCTTATATCAGATCAATTAGATTTTAAGCCAAAGACTATAATAAGAGATGAGGAAAGACACTATATCATACTCAAAGGAACTGTCCAACAAGAAGATCTAACAATTTTAAATATCTATGCCCCTAACATGGGAGCAGCCAACTATATAAACCAATTAATAACAAAATCAAAGAAACACATCGACAATAATACAATAATCGTAGGGGACTTTAACACTCCCCTCACTGAAATGGACAGATCATCCAAGCAAAAGATCAACAAGGAAATAAAGGCCTTAAATGACACACTGGACCAGATGGACATCACAGATATATTCAGAACATTTCATCCCAAAGCAACAGAATACACATTCTTCTCTAGTGCACATGGAACATTCTCCAGAATAGATCACATTCTCGGTCCTAAATCAGGTCTCAACCGTTATCAAAAGATTGGAATCATTCCCTGCATATTTTCAGACCACAATGCTCTGAAGCTAGAACTCA